GTATTAATACTAGTATTAGTATTACTATTAGTTTTACTATTACTAATAGTAGTAATATTAGTAATAGTACTAATACTAGTAGTAGTAGTAGTAATAGTATTACTATTAGTACTACTAATACAACTAGTACTTACTATTAATAGTAGTAATACTAATACTAATACTAATACTATTAATACTAGCAGTATTACTAGTAACAGTAGTATTACTTATACTATTAGTAACAGTAGTAGTACTAGTACTACTTACTAATAATAGTTACTAATAGTAAGTAGTACTATTATAAGTACTACTAGTAGTACTGATAGCACTAATAGTACTAATAGTACTGCTACTAATAGTAGTACTACTAGTAGTAATAGTAGTAGTACTATTAGTAATAGTAATACTACTATTATTAAGCAGTAGTACTACTAGTAATAGTAATACTACTATTACTAAGTACTAGTAGTAGTAATATTAGTAAGTAGTAGTTATATTAGTAAGTAGTAGTAGTAGTAGTACTAATACTAGTATTACGTACTAATACTAGTAGTACGTAGTTCTATTAATAGTATTATTATAGTACTAAGTAGTACTAGTACTAGTACTAGTATTACTATTACTACTAGTACGATTAGTAGTGGACCTGAATCCGTTAGTATGGAACATCTTATTTTCCAAGTGGAATCCCCTAGTATATGAAAGAATGAAAAAGTGTTTTCGTTGTTGTGGAATAAGAAGCCTTCGTATCATCTTAATGCATGTATTTGATTTATTCAGAGCTATTCGAGCGGGATCCACTTTTTGGGAAATAGTACTATTATACTAGTAGTACTACCAATAGTAGTACTTAGTAATATTAGTACTATTACTAACAGTAATACTACTACTAAGTACTACTAGTAGTAGCACTAGTAATAGTGGTAATACTAATAGTAGTACTACTACTAGTACTAATATTAGTTGTACTAGTAGTACTATTACTACTAATATTACTAGTATTATTAATACTAATAATATTAGTACTACTAGTACTACTAGTATTATTCGTACTAATAATATTAATAGTACTAGTACTAGTCTTACTACTATTACTAGTATTAGTACTACTACTTAATAGTACTAAGTAATACTAGTAGTACTAGTAGTAGTAATACTACTAACTAGTATTAGTAACAATACTACTACTAATAATAGTAGTACTAATACTAGTAGTAGTTCTACTACTAATAATAATATTATTATTACTAGTAATAATAGTACTACTACTAATACTTT